CTGCGCACTTTGGACCTTTTAGTGCTCACCAACTGGGTCCACATGGTCCAATGAGTGTGCAACATGCTAGTGTGCACTAGAACTTACATCCCAGCTGGTACACCCTGCTTTACCATGAAGACAAGTGCTAAGAGGGAGGGTGACTTCCAGTGCTTTTTAATGTGATCTGCTGGCTGTTTGGTAGACTAGGCAATTTACAGAGGAATCACTATTTTACAATGATATTTTCCAAAGTTGTAACTCCAGAAAATGGTATTTCTGGCACTGATAACAGCTCCAGAAATTTTAATTAATGAGTGTAGTGTTGCCAACTCTTACAATTTTATTGTAAGCCTTGCACTATTTGATGTGATTTTGATTTTTCTTAAAGCCCCAACTTATGAAGCCTTGTGTTTGGGGTGAGAACCTCCGCTTTCAGTTAAAAAAAAAAAAAAAATTCCCAAGCCCTTATGATTGCAGAGAAAAGCCTGCAAATGTGATCCAAGTGTAGCCTAAATGCTCAAAACCTACAAAGAAATTTAAAAAAAACCATACTCCTGATGTTGGTGAGCTTGACTTGTGATTTTGAATATGTGTTTGATCGGCAGTACTGTGGGGGAGAAATGCTAGTCTGAGGATTGTGTTAAATAAATTACTGATTACAGCTCCTCTTCTTTGGGAAGGTCCTCATGAGCCTGCTCACCTCTGGTATTTTGGATAGAAAACAGGTTTACTTTGCCAGAAATGGATATTGATACTCGACATTGCCATACCCTCCTATTTCTGTAACTCAGACTTCCCCTTCAGAAGATTCATTTTGATATAATTTAGTTTTTAGAAAAATTGAAGCACTTACCTGTTGTGATCGTCATTTGAATTAACAGTGTCTTTGTGCAGTCCTCTTGTGAAGCCCTACTCCATGTCTGGTAACGTGAAATAGCTCAGTGGCCCCATGATAGTGCTACAATTTAATTAAATGTGCAATGTTTCTGGACAATTGTGCTATTAGCGTTATTGATTCTTGGTCACACAAAGCTATAAAAAAAGAGGTTGTCATCTCTTTTTAAGGGGAGTTGTGTGCCAATGTAGATTGGTAATGTGTGACTGTCAGAATATAACTACATTACAATATAACTAACTTTAGCTTTAAATGTATTAGTTTATGTACAGGAACTTTTTAAATTAAAAGATTAAGATGTAGCAAAAGTTCTTGTATGGTTGTGAGGTTGGCAAATTTGTTTCCCTCAAGGAAGGCAGTTTGCCTGAAGAGATGAGTAAACCTGATTCTTTCTGTGTATATTTTAGCTACTGGGCTGGCATACAAAAACTGCCTGAAATGCAATGGCTAATTTCCCCCGAGTATTTAACCTCACCTAGAAACAAATGCAATTAAAGTATATAACACCTGAGAGAACCTCTCTACCTTATTGGTAAAGGAGCTATCCTCCATTTAAAAACCAAACAAATCAACCACCCTTGTTGCATTTGTAATTCTTTCGTTCCTGTTGTAATTTATATGTGATCTGCTAGCAGATTTCAGCAGAGCTTTCATTCAAATAAATAGGAGAATTTGGAACACATTGGAGACTCCCTTTCCAAAGAAAACTTGCAGCACTTGGCATATCATTCAACCTTCTAAATTAATTTTAAAACTTTATTAGCTACTTTTTTTTCTGAGAACAAGTAGATGTACTATTGATGAGTATAAGTATCATGGATGTTTTATGGCTATTGATGCCCCAAAATCCAATGGTTATTTTGATGAGTATTCATAAGTCATAGCTGTAAACACAACGGTTGAAACTATGCTATAATATGCAATTAAACCTAAAATAACTGGGTAGCACCAGTTACTGCCAGTGATACTATATACCACATTAATCAGTTAGGATTAGAAGTTAAGTATAGAAATAGAGGGGCAGAACCCCAGCTCCATTGACTTCAGAGGACAATTGACACCAGCTGAGGCGCTGCTCCAGGTTGTCGTAAAGGGTAGTTAGAATGATCAGGTGCCTTGCATATTTATAGTACAATCCTAACAGCATGGAGGGAAATGGCAAAACTCCACTCACTCAATCTGAGGAGGGTATGGCTCAGTATTACTATTGGTTGTGTGCTTCTCAATACATGTACTTTATGTATGAATTTTATTTATAAAAAATCAGAGCAAAACAATTCAGGGTGTATGAGTACAGCTGAGGAGTATTGTTCATATGACTGTTTATATTACCAAAAGGTCCTCACACTGAAAACTTAAATAGGAATATAGGCCTGGAAGAGACTTCCTGGGTCGTTGAATCTGCCCCCTGGTATTATAGACAATCCTGTTCAATAATTTAATTTATCAAGCCCCATTTTAAAACTAGTCAGGTTGCTTGCCTCCTGTACTCCTATTTGGAGGCTGTTCCAGAACCTCAGTCTTCTGATGGTTAGAAATCACCTGATTTCCCGTTTACATTTCTCCAGGGCCAATTTATGCCCATTTGTTCTTGTGACAGCATTGTCTTTCAGTTTAAACAGCTCTTCTCCCTCCGTGGTGTTTACCCCCTTGGTGTATTTATCCAGAGCAACCATAGCCCCTCTCAGCCTTTGTTCTGCTAGCCTAACAAGCGAGTCACTTTTAGACTCCTCTCCTACAATAGGCTATCCATTTTTCTGGTGAGTCTAGTAGTTCTCTGCACTTGTCTTAGTTTGAATTAATCTACCTTGAAGAATATTTACTTTGATTTTATTGATGTTTATACTATATAGCATATATATATTTATAATTATATTGAGTTTACTTTGCTGATCTTTGTTGCTGCTGCTAATACCCTGAAGATCTTGTTTCCTGTAAGCTTTAGGATCTATCATGCCAGGCAGCTGTTGCTTACCATGGATGTTTGTATTCTGGAGCTGAACAGTTTAGATAATCGTGTAAACATAGCTTATAATACTTCAGACTCCAAACTTCTGTTAGAAAAAATGCATATCAGTACAAATGCCAAAACAGACTTAATTTTGAAAGAGGTCCACACTCATAAAGTGTTCTAATCAGGGAAGTAAGTAACATCCTGGTTTCTAAATCTGGAAGTTCAGTTTTTTATGTTGTCTCTGCAATTACAAATTATGGCACAGAAGCTGCAAAAACTGGTCTCAGATATCAATCCAACTTGCTCACATGCATAAAGTTAGTCGTGTATAAGCACTTGCAGACTTTACTAACTGGTCTGTGGGCACATACAGAAGAAGATGGTGCAGACTTTACTCAATTCACTGGGAGGTCTTGGAATAAATATCAAGTACACATTGCTGTACACATTTTTATTTCTTTTTTACTAAAATTCACATTTTAAAAACGTTTTGCCGGTTCTGTATTATTTATAAAATGTTCTAATGCTTCATTCTCATGTCTTAATTTAGAAAATTAAGAGGAACTTAAAGATTAGTTTTATTTCCCTCTTGCTAAATGACAATTGCAATTTTCTCTCCTCTGATCAATTCCCCCCCCTCCCCCCCCCGAAACTTTGGGTCCCAGTTCAGAAAAGTATCCTTATTCACAAATTCATGCTAAGCATGTGCTTATGTTCTATCAAACTCAATGGCACTTAAGCACCTGCTTAAGTGCTTTCATGAATCAACATGTCATTTTGTAATTTTTAAATACTAAAACATTCCTCCCTATCCTTAGTTCAGGCAAGTTCCCAGTTGGGCCCACCCTAGAAAAACTCTCTCCCAACAGGCTCTACTCCCATTTTGCTGACTTGAGGCTTTTGTAGCCTGCAATATCCCCTTTTCACTTCAGATATTTTGGCTGAAGGAGGAACACAAGCAACTTTCCTTCTCTCAGTATTGGGTTGGTGAGGTAAACCCGTTCTCCTGAAGATGATTTCTTGAATTGAGAAATACGATTACTTTTCCAGCACACTAAAAACAAAAGATAGGGTAGAGAGCCAGCTGTTCTACCTTCCCCACCACATGAAATTAGGAGTGAGGGGAGATTGTAAACCATTGCCTCAACCCCTGGGAGATAACAAAAGAGAGAGATCCCAGAATCTATTGTGAGGGTGTTCTCTAATAAATTTGTTAGTCTCTAAGGTGCCACAAGTACTCCTGTTCTTTTTGCGGATACAGACTAACACTGCTGCTACTCTGAAATCGGTCTGGAGAGGAAGTTCTGGTTTATGGCTTCATCTGCAAGATCTGGGGGCTTGGGTTGCACTTTGCTTTTGTTTTAATGATGGTCCCAACTTTCTCTACCCCTTTTCTTTAAACCTCTATGTACTGGTGATTCATATTTTAAGTTCTTTGAGGCAGGGGTTGTCTCTTCCTTGATAGCTATAGATATCTCACCATGCAAAGTTAAGGTGCTAAATAAATACTTAATAATAGCCATTAATGAAAATAAGGGGAAAGATTTGTATAAGCCACAGCATATAAAAACAAGGCATTCCACCCAGCTCCGTGAAGCATGATTTTAGCTCTTTCACTTTTTCCAAGTGAATGCTGCTGCAACAAGATTGAGCATTGCAAGCTGGCAGCTGTCATCTCTCAGGTCATGGCCTTTATTTTAAAGATGAAGGTGATTGCAGGACTACCTTGTAGAACTCCATGGGTTGCATTTTGCTTCCATTTTGACCACCCCTGCCTTCCCATGATTTCCCAGATGGGAAATTAGTACATGGAAATAGGAATCCAAAGAACCAGATTTAACTGCAGAAAGTACTTGTACTGAAAAATTCAAGGAGAGAGCCCAAGTAGAATAATAGTTGGCATAGTTGTTCTTCATAGTAGGGAGATTTTCTCTGGCTGAAATGTGTGCATCTTAATACAATACTGTAGTTACCTTCCAGCTTAAAGGGGCCTGATGTACTCTTAGAAGGAGCTGAGGTACTCTTACCATTGATAAGGGCCTTCATACAACTTCTAATCTTCGAGCAGCTTTAAACTTGCATAGAGAACAACTTTTTAAAGCATTTGATTATGAGATCTGAATGTATGTCTGCAAACATCTAATGAGATCTACACATTTCCCCCACCAGGTTTGGAGGAGAACAGCCAGTGTACATCAATATTATTAGGGATCCTGTCAACCGATTTTTATCCAACTATTTTTTCCGTCGATTTGGAGACTGGAGAGGGGAGCAGAATCATATGATCCGCACCCCAAGTATGAGGCAAGAAGAAAGATATCTAGTAAGTTCTTTTAAATTAAAGGCTGTTAACAAAATACTTTTGTTCACCATCCAGATACATAATTACAAAAATTGAAACAGGATGTTTGGAAAGTTAGAGAATGAGTTATCTTTAGTCTACCTTCAGTCATTCCTGCTGTCGGGCTTCATGTTAAGTTGTATGGTCTTGATTTTAATCAGACTGTATAGTGCATATGCTGCCTGGGTCAGGAATATAATTATATATTTGTCACGTTAGAGAGACAAGGTGGGTGAGTTGTTGGTCCAATAAAAGATAAACTTCTGTTGGTGAGAGAAGTTTTTGAGTTTAAACAGAGCTCTTCTGCATACATCAATGGAAGATATCGAATTTGTCAAGCTAACTGTGAGCCAGCTGCCACTGAAGTTAATCTGAGGCTTTCCACTTAATTAACATTGGATTAGGCCCTCTATTTGTCATGCTGGATATTTAAATAGCTTTTGAGACTGAGACCAAGAATGCCAATCATGCAGTTGCACTAGAACAGGGGTTTTCTCTCTCTCTCAAAAAGAAAAAAAAAAATATATGGCCTCAGAGTGTGGCCACCAACTCTCACTGGTGACCACACTGACACTTTTTCCTAAAATACTTAATTAACTTTAGGCAAAACAATTAAAAGTGCACAGATACACATCCAAATCATTGTAATTTATATTTGTAGGGGGTTTTGGCAGACTCAGTAATAAAAATATGGGAAGCAACGGGGATGATGGGGATGGGTGATGAGTCCAAAGCCAGGGCCTGGTGTCTGTTGCCATGTGGCAAGGGCCAGGGCTCAGTGCCTGCGGCCAGAGCCCGGAGCTGGGGACAAGAACTGCGTGGCCAGAGCCAGGGATCAGAGCCTGCTGCCGCACAGCTGGAGCTGTGGGTCAGTGCCTGGGGACCAGTGCCTGCCACCGCGCGGCCGGAGCCCGGAGCTGGGTGTCAGAGCCCAGGCTGCATGGCTTGAGCCAGGAGCCAGCACCTGCTGCTGCGTGACTGGAGCCAGCACTCGCTGCTGTGTGGCCAGAGGTTGGCACCCAGGGCCAGCTCCTGCCACCGCGTGGCCAGAACTCGAGAACAGAGCTGTGGGAACAGAGCTGTGTATGCAGCTGGGGCAGGGTATCCGCGCCAGGGGTGGGGCTGCACTGCTGGAGCTGCGGGTCAGTGCCTGCCACTGCACTGCCAGAACTTGGGACTGGAGCCAGGGGACAGTGCCTGCTGCCACACAGCTGGAACCAGAGGCCGGAGACCAAAGCCCCACAGCTGGAGGCCAGGGCCATGTGGCCAGAGCCGGGGGTTCAGTACCCACTGCCCCACGGTTGGAGCTCGGGGCTGCACTCCCAGGCTCCTGAAGTCCCGCTGCTGGAGCCTGCTGCCGAAACCCTCTCCCCCGAAGATGGGTCAAGAATTCACCTTGCTCCTGCAGCGTTGTGCCCCACCTCTCTCCAGAGGTGGTGCAGGGCACTGCACATCCAGGAGCAACAAGGAGGGAATGGGAGGGTCTGATGCTTTGCCCCCCCTAAAATTTCATGTTCTTCCTGTAGACTCAACCAGCTGCAAGTGGTGTCTTTCAGAGACGACTGATCTGATTCCAATTCTTGTTTTTCTTTGCTCAGCTTTCTTTGGTGACATAAATGCTACTAGTGGTTGATCTTCTGTTTTGTGGAATCTGTGCTAATTTTGTGGTTTTTTTTTTTTTTTTTTTTTTTACCTTGATACTGTGTGTGCTCAGCAACTTGAGAATAGTACAGACTGCCTGAGGTGACCTATTGCACACCCATCTCCAATGTGTAGTATACACATAATTTCCCAGCAAAGACAAATATGGGGTTACATCCTGACCCCATCGCAGTCAGTGGTGAAACCTCCCATTGGCTGCAATGGTGCCAGCTTTCACCCATGATATACCTAATGACACCCAATTTGTTAAGTAAAATATAAAGCAGTATATTAAAGAAAGGGTTATGAAAGCTAGAAATGACGTTTTGTAATTAAATGTTCATTTGAAAATACTCTGCTTACAAGTTTCAGAAATAAGCTTTAGCCTACTCCAGCACCATGTAAGGTTGCTGCTTATTGCCACATGGATCAGTTCCAGTTTCTCAATATTTAATTTTTTCCAGAGCTGTGATTGTCCTCACCAGCTGAAGTACCACAGTGCTTACTTCAAAGTTTAGAGACACTCAAGGAAAAGGATCCCTAGGGCACATTTGTGATAGGACAGCTTGCTGCTTTATTATGTGACCTTATAGAAAATGATACAAAATCAAAATAGATGAGGGTCTAGAGAACTACAAGAAAGAAAAATGGTATAGAATCATAGAACTGTTGCAGGGGGTTGGACAAGAAATCATCAAGTCTAGCCCCTGCACTATGGCAGGACCAAATAAACCTAGACCATCCCTGACAGGTGTTTATCTAACCTGTTCAGAAAAACCTCCAATGATAAGGGTTCCACTTGGAAGCATGTTCCAGAGCTTAACTACCCTAATAGTTAAGTTTTCCCAAATATCCAATGTAGATCTCCCTAGCTGCAGATTAAGCCGATTTACTTCTTTTGTCCTACCTTCAGTGGACATGGAGAACAAGTGATCACAGTTCTCTTTATAGCAACCCTCAACATATTTGACGACTGTTATCAGGTTCCCCCTCAGTCTTCTTTTCTCAAGACTAAACATGCCCAGGTTTTTTAACCTTTCCTCATAGATCAGGTTTTCTGAAGTGTTTTATCATTTTTTTGCTCTCCTCTGGACTCTCTCCAATTTGTCCACATCTTTCCTAAAGTGTGGTACCCACCGTTGGACACAGTACTCCAGCTGAGGCCTACCCAGTGCTGTGTAGAGCAGGACAACTACCTCACGTTTCTTACATCTGGCACTCCTGTTAATACACCCTAGAATGGATGTTGTGAAGGCAAATATTATAACTGGGTTCAAAAAAGATTTAGATAAGTTCATGGAGGATAGCTCCATCAGTGGCTATTAGTCAAGATGGTCAGGGGCACACCCCCATGTTCTGGGTGTCCCTAAACTTCCAGCTGCCAGAAGCTGGGACTTGATGACAGAGGATGGATTACTCGATAAATTACCTTGTTCTTTTCATCCCCCCCCCGAAGCATCTGGCACTGGCCACTGTCGGAAGACAGGACAATTGGTCTGACCCAATATGGCCATTCTTATGTTTGTATGAATGATATTAGTCTTTTTCACAACTGCATCATGTTGACTCGTTCAGTTTGTGATCCACTATAACCCACACATCCTTTTCAGCAGTTCTACCACCTAGCCAGTTATTTCCTGTTTTGTAGTTGTGGATTTGATTTTTTCCTTCCTAAGTGAAGTATTTTGCACTTGACTTTGTTGAATTCAGACCAATTCTTCAATTTGTCAAGGTTGTTTTGAATTCTAATCCTGTCCTCCAAAGTGCGTGCAACCCCTCCCAGCTTGGTGTCATCTGCAGATTTTATAAGCATCCTCTCCACTCCGTTATCCAAGTCAATAATGAAAATGTTGGACCCAGGACTGACCCATGTGGGACCTCACTATATAGCCACTTCTAAAACCACTGATAACTACTCTTACAGTCTTTCAAACAGTTGTGCACCCAATTTATAGTAATTTCATCTAGACTACATTTCCCTCGTTTGCTTATGAAAATGTAATGCGGGACTATGTCAAACGCCTTACTAAAATCAAGTTATAGCTGCACGTCTACTGCTTCCCTCCTATCTATGAGGCCAGTAAGTTTTTTTTTGGAGGGGCAAGGAAGTAGATGAGGTACAAGATGTGTTCTGTACCCTTTTTCATACCACAACTCTGAATTATTTCTGTACAGCACAATTCACAAACATTTGTTTCAATAACCATCCTAGATGAAGTCAGTTTTACCTAAACAAGGCTATGTTTTTGCATATAGCTGAGCTGTGGGGTTTTTGTGTTTTATTGTTTTGGCTCTGTTACTCTTATCATATGACTGCTTGGAGTACTTGCATGAGTTACACTAAGCATTTCAAAATATTATCACATCTACTATATAATTAAAAACTCATTTGAAAGTGTTGAAAGTGTTTCTGCATTTACTAAATGTCTGGGGATATTAAGAGGCCTCTGAGTCATCTTGGGTCATTGTTGACATTCTCGTGCTTGCACTTGGAAGGCAGACTAACAGCTTTTCATTATGTGTGCAACGTGTGTGTGGTTGCGTTCCGTGGTGTGTATAGGACAGAACAGCTGGGAAAGTATATTTATACTAGAGTCATCATGCCTTCCCTTTAGGAAAAAATAGGAGGTTACTGGTACACATTGTACTTTATCCTGCAAGGTGCTGACTGCCCTCTCCTGTCATTTAAGTGAGAGGTATGGTGATTGGCACCTCTATGCTTAAAAATTGGTGAGCATTTTATAAGGCTTCATGCAATTTAACCCATTCTTTAAGACTTATGATTCACCAAATACATAAAGTTTCGGTATATTTACTTCCAACAGGCGCTGTTACAGGATTGGAACTTCATAACCGTGTATAATTCCTTAGTATCCCTCTTGCTTTAAATGTTAATGGCAGAATGGAAAAACATGACCATCTTTGTACTCTGGCAAGTTCTCTCTCTCTCTCTCTCACTCACTCCATACATACTTGCATGGACACAGAAGTTACAGGCACAAGAAAAAAATATTATAGTAGCAGAAGGCCAGTAAAATGTTGGTGTCAGTAGCCCATTGTCTTTTAGAGACATTGTCAGCAACTTTGTAAAAATTATTTGTTTTGTTGTTTTAACTTTCACTGTTCCTAATGCTCTATTAGAAGCCTGGAAACAAAGTTTTCCCCTTTTGGATTCTGTCGTCCTCCTTTTGGCAAACTTTGATTGTCAGATGTCTTTATTCAAAGAGGGTGGTTGTTCATGTCTGAGTAAAGTATAGGCCAGCTGCCAGTGAAAATCATTTTAACAAGTCAGTCGTTCAGAATGTTAAAGATTTTTGAAGATGTGTTGTCTAATCAAATTT